CCATACGCCCCCCACCTGCACCCCCGGGTGTGTCTCGTGCATGAACTCGAAGAGCTTGTTGACCACGGTCTTCAGGAACTTCCAGTGGGCCCGCAGGAACTTGGGGTACTGCCCCACAACATACCTGAGTGTGTGTGTGTAGGGGGGGGTTGTTATTGTGGTTGTATGAGAGGAAGAGAGTGTGTGCGTAATCACGTGTGTTTCTAAATGTGTGTGTGTGTGTGTGTGTGTGTGTGTGTGTGTGTGTGTGTGTGTGTGTGTGAGAGATAGAGAGAGAAGAGCAAGGAGCAGAAGACAAGTGAAAAATTGTAAATGGTGTGTGTGCGTGTGTGTATGTGTGTGTGTGTGTGTGTGTGTGCACGCACGCGTGTGTGTGCGCATGTGTGTGTGCGCGCGCGCACACGCGCGCATGTGTGTGTGCGTGTGTGCGCGTGGGAGTGCACACGCGCGCATGCAGACGCGGTGAATGCGGACCGAGCAAGGACGAGACCAGCTGCGACGCCTCAAAGATCAGGCGGGCTACGCCAGGCGCTCTCACGCGCAACGCGCGCGTCCGTACGTCATCCACCCACATTATGTTTGACGCGATGACGGCCTTGTTGTCCTTGCCGCGCGTCACCTCGCACAGGTTGAGGAGGTCCCTTATGACTGTCACCAGGAACCTGTTCTCCTGCTCCTCCGCCATGGTGCCGCTGATGGAGCCGATCGCCCAGCAGAGGGTGTTGAGGCCGTGCCACGTCCACTGGCCAGCCATCTGGAGGCGCAGCTTCTCAAGCATCTGGGGGGGAGGGGAGAAGAGAGAGAGAGAGAGAGAGTGTGTGTGTGTGTGTGTGAGTGTGTGTGTGTGTGTGTGTGTGCGCGCGTGCGTGTGTGAGTGTGTGTGTTGTTGGTTATCACAGAGCAATGGCACGCGCTCACCCACATCCACTCACCCACAAACACATGCATGCATGCAAACACTTGTACACACACACACACACATACACATACACACAAATACACACCACACACACGAACACATATCACCCCCCCCACCTGAATCTCTGTGTCCTCGTAGTCCAGGTGGCTCAGCATCACCAGCGTCTCCCTCATCGTGCGGTACTGCGCCAGCACGTCGTTGTCCTTCATCGTCTCACGCACGATGTTGCCGTTGTCGTCCTCAACAACAATCACCTCCTGCAGGAGCACGCATGCGTGTGCGTGTATGTGTGTGTGTGTGTGTTTGTGCGTGCGCGTGCGTGTGTCTGGGGGGTTGTTGAGGTATGTCACGGTGTGGTGTATTCGGAGGCTGAGGCAGAGCATGAGGGGCAGCTGAGAAGTTTGCCAGACCGCAAGGCGGCGGCGGCGTCCCAGTACGTAGGTGCGCGGCACGGCATGGCTGTGAGAGCGTCCCCCTGCACCGTTCACCCCCACACGAGGCGTGCTCCGAGGCCGCCAGTGCAAACAGGCAGCCGCGGCCCACCTCTGGCTTGGCCATGCGGTTGACCATGAGCGCCCGCAGGCGCTGCAGCACGCCCCCGTAAACCACCCGCCGCTGCATGTTGAGCAGCGGCGTGCCCGCGCCGCCGCCGCCCTGCGCGCCGCCGTTGGCGGCGGCGGCGGTGCCCGCCGCCGCGCCGGGCGCGGGCGGGAACGCGAAGGCGCCGTTGGCGGCGGCCGAGGCGGCGAGCTGCTGCGCGGCGTACTGCTCGTGCATGCGGGCGGCCTCCTCCATGGTCGTGCCTGCCGCCGGCTGCGGGACCTGCGCGGCAGGGGGCGTCGCGGCACAGACGGAAACAACAGGGTGGCTGGGGGTTCCGTGAGGCCGGCGCGGCGCCTGGTCTGGACGACGCGGCTGGCAGGGCAGCACAGGCAGAGTCCCGCAGGCTGTTGCAGCGTGCGGCGCGCTGCCCTTACGTGGTGCACCGCGGCGCGCACCTGGTTGCCGCCGCCGGGCGTGGTGGGGATGCTGGCGCCGCTGTAGATGTCGGCCACAAACAGGGCCCAGTAGTCGAGGCACGTCTTGAACACCTCCACCTGCGTTTGCGTGGCGCGCGTGCGTGCGGTGTGCAGAGTATATGCACAAGCGTGCGAGCATGCATGCGACATGTTCGAGCTTGTGGACGACCTTGGGCGCGTGCGCATGCGTGCATGTGTCGAGCACGTGCGCATGCGTGCGTGTCTGCATGTCTGCGTGTGCACGACGTGCGTGCGGGAACAGGAAGAGAAGGGCAACCGCGTCGCATTGACCCAGGTTGCAGCGAACGGCCCCGCCCCCCCTGCAGGATTGAAACCCTGCGACAGCAATGCCGCAGCAACCGTGTCCCATGGCCGGCCTGAACCCAACAAACACTCTCCCTTCCTCTCACACAAAAACATACACACAATCTTCCTCTCTATCTCTCTCACCACACCCACACAGGCACACACAGATATACACACGCACACAACAAGAACGCGCACCTCATCCACGTAGCTGATGCTGGTGAGCATGTCGAGGCCCATGAGGCAGGCGCCACGGTTCTCCTCGTTGCTCTCCATGGCGCGCAGGTGGGCCTGGCGGGCGTCACGGTCCGCAGGGGGGGGGGGGGAGGGAAGCTATTGATGAAACCATTAATTGCGGCTCAGGGCTGCGCTTCGGACGCCATAGCAGCGACGCACGTGGGCGACGCCACGCGTCAGCGGGGCGGGCGGGACGAAGCGCCCGCGACAGGCAGACCAATTCGCCACGCGCCCTCTGGATAGCCGCCATCACCCCCCTCGCTGCGGGGAAGGCGAGCGGCTGCTCTGCCCATGGGCCCAGGTCAGTGCAGCGCGGCTGCCCCGTCAGCCTCACCCTGAAGAAGCTGGTGTAGAAGAGGGCCAGGTTCTGGACAAAGGCCTGCTGCTCGTCGGTGCCAGACTGGTAGGCCATCTCAATGTTGGTGCCTGGGTTCATGAGAGAGTAGGGAGTTGTGTGTGAGCATGTGTGTGAGCGTGTGCGAGCGCATGTGTGTGTTGGGCGACATCTCCGTTGTATGTGTGTGTGTGTGTGTGTGTGTGTGTGTGTATGTGAGAAAGAGACGGAGGGACAGAGAAAGAGAGAGAGAGAGAGAGAGAGAGAGAGAGAGAGAGAGAGAGAGAGAGAGAGAGAGAGAGAG